CACGCATGTTGTTTTTATGTAATCTCCATGGTAGCTCCACGCAGCGGACACACGTTACACAGGCCGTGGTGGCTGAGGAACCGGCGGTCCCCGCCTGTCTCAGGACGGACGCCGCCCGCACCGAGAGGCAGCGGTGAATAATTCAGCGGGCGCCAGGCGGCCCGGGCCCCGGCGTATCGGGTGCCGGGGACCGAACGCCGAGTGGGCGAGCCTAACAGTCCAGGGGGACGAGACGCTGGGTTCTCTGTCTGGAGGCCGGACCCACTCGGCTGGGAAGACCACCGACACGTGTCTGAGCTCCACGCCTGGACGAGCATGCGGATCCCCACCCACCCGTGTCTCTGGGCTCGAGGTCCGGCGAGGCGCTCGTGGGGTGACAGACGGAGAGGGGCAGAGGTCAGACGCAGGAACAGCTCCGTGCCGCTCCCCTGGGCCTCGGCATTTCCTCCTCTGGCTTAGCCGCCGGGGTTCAGCACCTCCAATATTTAAATAGCAGCGGCCATGTGTATGACGCACTCACACTCACCAGGCCTGCGATCTCCCCATTGCACAGGCGTGGAGACTGAGGCTGCGCCCACCTGGGGCCCGGCCGCGGTGGGAGCCTCTGGGAGGAGCAGACCTGTCCTGCCCCCCCCCCCGGCCCCTCCCCTACACCCCCCATCCCCGGAAGAAACGGCTCCCGATGGAGGCCTGTCTGAGCTGCAGCCTGTCACGGCCCCATATTCCCCAAAAGGACGTTTAAAGTGACAGGAGCGGCTGATATGTCAACCCCGAGGGCCTGAGCGGCGCCCAGCCGCCAGCTCTGTCTGCTGAGCGGACACCACGGCTGCCTCTCCTTCCCTGGAATTCCCTCAGCTGCGCCTCCTCCAGGCCTGCCCTGCAGCTCCAGGCGGGGGTGAGTGGAGGAGGAGGAGGGGAGGAGGAAGAGGCAGGCCTAGTGGGAAGAAGGCGTGGTGGGGTAGGGAGCGAGGAGCAGGCCTGCTCCTCCTGGTCCCTCTGGCTCCCGGCTCCCGGCCCCCAGTTCCCGGCTCCCGGCCCCGGCCCCCGGCCCCCGGCTCCTGGCTCCCAGGGCTGGCCGGGCCCCAGCGGCTGCCCTCAGCTCCCCCGCTCCCCTCCGCCACCTTTTCACCCACCGCCCCACCGCCCGCAGGAGCCGGCTGGCCCCGTCCACACAGACGCCGGGCACCTGGGGGCCGTCCATCCTCTCCACGGGCACTGATCTCGGAAGAGGACATTTTCCAACCATCTTCCCACGTGGGAAGGAGAACCCTTTTATTTACTTATTAAATGTTTTTATTGGCCTCAAAGAGGAGCCACTGGGACTGAGCCTGTGTCTGACCCAGGACGGACTGAAGCTCCGTGGCACCGCACCCGGCGAAAACTGCTGTTTGAACGTGAACCGCTGTTCCGGCTCCTGCACCTGCGTACACACAGGTAGCTGGCCTCGGCTTCCGGGCGGAGACCTGGAGGCTGAGGCAGTTTCCCCCGCCCGTGGCCCAGCACCACGGGAGCAGACACTGCCGACAACCTTTAGAGATTAGCCGCTGAGCTCTGCTTCTGTACTATCTGCTTTTGCAAGAGAGGTCTGTCCACATTCCAACGTCCAGCAGGATGTGGCTGGGGACGACCCTGCGGGCTGTTCCCGGCCTTTAGGATTTAGAATTCAGAACAAAGGAAAATTCCTGTGGTTTGGACCTTTAAAAGGACTGCCTACACCTGGAACGGGGGGACGTGAGTGTGGCCACCTGCGTGTGGTGCTCTCGCGGCCTGGCCAGTTCAATAAATCCTGCCTGCTTTTTTTTAATCAGCCTGGCCAGTTCAATAAATCCTGCCTGCTTTTTTTAATCAATCATCAGCCTCTGGTGGTCTTATTTTGAACCCAGGGTTCGACCCCACAAGAACCATGACCTTCTGGTTCATGGGTTGATGCTCAACCACTGAGCCACCCTGGCCAGGGGGAAAACCCCTTTCACATTAACATTCAGCACAAAATACCAGCGTGGCCCTCCCTGGTTTGGCTCAGTTGATGGAGTGTCAGCCTGTGGACTGAGGGGTCTCGGGTTTGAGTCCAGTCAAGGGCATGTACCCGGGTTGTGGGCTTGACCCCCTGTGTTGGGTGTGCAGGAGGCAGCCAATCAATGATTCTCTCTCATCTTTGATGTTTTTCTCTCTCTCCCTCTTCCTCTTCCTCTTCCTTCTTTTCTGAAATCAATAAAAATATATTTTAAAAAAATACCAGCGTGGCGAGGCCCACAATGGATGGAGAACTACACACACATCAGCGGGGTGTGAGCAAAATGCCGAGTGCTAAACTTCCCGCCCACATGGAAGACATGTACGTACCCCACGCTAGGACCCAGCCAGGCCCTGGGGCGGGGGGAGAGGGGGAGTCTAAGAGCCAAGAGGCTGTCGGTGGCCCCGGACGCCCACAGGCAGGGGCCGCACGCGGGCACAAACCCAGCCCCGACCACCTGCCCCTGCTTCTCGGAGCTGCCACGTGCCCTGGGCAGCGGGGGTGCGGCCGGCAGTGAGCGAAGCCGGGGAACACGTGTGGCCCGCCCCCAGCTGGCCGACACCACACCAACGTTGGGTCCTAACCAGCAAGCACATCTGTGCTGCCTGCACCCACACGCGTGTGAGGCTGGGCCTCACGCTGCCGTCACCCAGACACGAGAGCCCGGGTCAGGCCCTGATGCTCGACGGTGCCGGCCGGTCCCCGTGGGCAGGGACCACCAAACCCCGGCCCCCGCCGGAGGGCGGAGCTGGTGCCCTTGTCCTATCCCTCTCGGCGACTCCACACATCGCAATCCTCACAACGCCCGCACACAGCACGGGCAGCACACAGCACGCAGCACCCGGCAGCACACAGCACACAGCACCCGGCAGCACACAGCACACAGCACGGGCAGCACAGTCACCGGGAGGTCTGACAACAAAACACCGTCTCGGAGCCTCTGACCTCAAGGCAGACCCCGCGGCCACAGGGAGAAGGAACTCGCTCTCCCGCCATCAGTGGCTCAGCGGACGGGAGCCGTGCGGACAGGGAGGAGGTGGGCCGGAGCCGCAGCCTCAGGAGGGCAGTCTCGCCTCCCAGGGAGCCGGAGCCTGAATAGGCCCCAACACCCGCCAGCCCCACAGCCGGCGGCGAGACATCGAACCCGTTATCGCAGCCTCTCGGCACCTGGGTGAGGCCTGTGCTGAAGCCCCATTCCGCAGACGGGCAGACTGAGGCTGTGCGACTACCAGTGGGGGTCAGAGCCGGGGGAGGAGGGAATCCGGGGCCCTGGCAGAGCCCCAGGTGGGAACCCGCTCCCCCAGGCCTTGGCCTGACGGTCTCTGAGACCCGCCCGGCCGTGGCTCCGCTCCCCGTGGCCAGCACTTTCCCAGGGGCGCCGGCTTCCTCCCCCAGGCAGAGCATGTGTTAGTGCAGCAGGTGCCGGCGCGGGGCTGAGACACGGGGCTGGAGGCCGTGGAGGGCTGGCCCGTGGCGGTGCCTCTCGCTGAGGGGCTGAGCGTACCATGCGGCACCCCCGCCCGGCCACCTCCCGCCATCAGGCAGGACGGCACCAGCTTCAGCCACTACAGCCTGTTGGCCAGGAGCTCCCGCGGCCGGACCGACTGGACATTCACACAGAAGAACGGAACAGTGCGGGGGAGGGGAGGGGGAGGAATGGGCGGAACCGGGGACTCGCAGTGGCCTCCCCTCCCCTGTACGCCTTCCTGTACCTCACACCCCGGTCACGTCACGGACATACAGTCCTGGAGCGGAGAGCTGAGCCCCGCCCGCTGGCCTGTCCTCCAGGCAGGGGCCCGGGACCGGGAACCGGGGCCCGGGAGGAGCCATTGTGGGCGGAGGGGCCCCGTGAGCACGCTCCCCGCTCTGACGGGATGTCCAAGTCCTCGCCAGCGAGGTGGGGATGACACGCCGAGTCCGCACAGAGCCGTGTGCCCGCAGCTCGGACCTGTGTCTCCCCCAGAGCGCCGCCTGGGCCGGAGGGAGGACACGGGCTCGGGGCCCGGAGGCAGCTGCCGGGTGGGGCGCCGCGGAGGGAGGGGCAGGGGACGGGCATTCCTTCAGCCCGAACCCGAGCCGCCTTGTCTGCCAAACGCCGGCAGCTGTGCGGGCGGGTCTGCCAGCCGGGCAGGTACTAACGTCCAGCCCCGCCTGCTCGTGCAGCATCACGTGTGCACGCACATGCAGGCACACACGCGTACACGTGCACACACGCGCACACACACACACACACACACACACACACACACGGCCGGAGCAGCTCTCGCTGGCACTCTGAGGCGGTGCGTCTCCTCCCGCCCTGTTGAAAGCCGTGTCCCGGTTAGAGCCGTGAGCGGCCACGGCCCCCCAGTCCCGCGGAAACCGAATGCGCAGGCCCCGGCGGCTGAGGCGGGGACCCCCCAGGCCGCGGCACACGACTCAGACCCCACAGCGCAGGCGTCGGCCGAAGGGCTGATCACGGCCTCGGACCCCACGGCGCCCGGCCAGCCAGCAGCCCGCGCCTGCGAATCTGTCCGTCGGCGAGGCCACGGGCACGGGAAGAGGCGGGAGGGAGGCGTGCCCAGCGGCCCCACACCCCGCCCCTGCTCTCACGTTCCCGCACGCTCAGCCATCCCCGTCAGCAAGCAGGGCCTCTGGGCCGGCGGTCGGCAAACTCCAAACATTAGCCCGCAGAGCCAAACGTCAGCAACACAACGATGGGCATGTCTTTGGAGAGCCCAATTCTTTAAACTTAAACTTCTTCTAAGGCCATGTCTTCCAAACAGACTCCCCAGGCCGTGGTGCTTTGTGGGAGAGCCACACGCAAGGGGCCGAAGAGCCGCGTGTGGCTCGCAAGCCGCGGTTTGCCGACCGCGGGCGCCGCCGACCAGAGATGGAGAGCTAGCTTCCCCGCCCGCGTGTCTCCGTGACAGACAGACAGACAGACAGACAGAGCGCGAGGGACGGGGAGGCCGAGCCCACTCGCCGGAGCTGGCTCTGCACCTACCTCTGCTCGCGGGCGGCCGGGCGGGCGTCCCCGGCTTCTTCGGGCTCCGGAGGGGAGGCGGCACCTGCTGTCCGGGCCCCCGGGGGAGCGGGCCGCTCGGGCGCGGGCGGCTGGGGCCCCTCGGAGCTGCCCGGGCCACCAGGCGGTCCCCAGGCGGCAGCCGTTCCAGAGGGCACGCTCCTGGCACCGGCTCCCATCTCAGCTGTGCCCAGAGCCGCGGCGCCCTCTGGCTCCCCGGCACCTCCTGCCCCCGGGCCACAGGGAGGAGGGGCACTCAGGGCAGAGGTGGGCGAGGGCAGGTCCTCGGGAGCTCCTGGCGGGGCAGGGCCCTGGGCGCCCTCTGCCTGAGGCCCGAGCTGTCCTCCAGCAGGAATTCCGTCGTCCGGGTCTGAGTCCCCTTCCCTGCGGCTCCAGGCGGCCGCCTGCGGGCCAGCAGCTTTCTCCACCGGGGCCTCCTGCCGGCCGCTGCCCCCCTCCGGCCGCTCTTTGTCCTTAGGCACCGGCAGGTGCCCAGTCACTGCCTCGCCGGCCCGGGCCCCGGGCAGGTCCTGCCCCATGCCCGTCCCTGCCGGCCGGGGCGGCGGCTCTGTGGCCGGATCCTGGGGAACCGGGTGGGGGGCCTCGGCCTCGACGGCCAGCGCCTGCTCCCGCTTCTCTGCGTCCGCCACGCGGAGGCCGGCCGGTGGGGCGGGGACAGGGGCCGGGGCCGCGGCTGGAGTCCCATCTGGAAGCTTCCCTGGGCTCAGCAGCCCGTCGGGGTGCTTGCCGCCCCTGCTCCTGGGGGCCCCCGCCCTGTCCCCAGGGGCAGGTGGGCGCTGGGGCCGGTCGGCCGGGGCTCCGCGCACGGACGCCTCGAAGATCTTGGTGATGTGCTCCCTGAAGTCGGGGAGCCCGGGGGCGGGGCCGCTCTGCCGGGGGCTGGCGGGGTCCCGGGGCGGCCCCCCCGGCCGGTCCCCGTGGCGCTCGGGGCCCCGCTCACGGCCGGGGCTCACGGGGACCACGGGGGCCGGGGGGCCGGCGCCGGGGGCTGCGCTCCCCTCCCCCGTCCTCTGCTCGCCGCGGGCGGGGGGCGGCGTGCTGGCCAGGGCGGGCGCGGGGTCCCCGGGCCCCTCGGAGGCCCCGGCCGCCCCGGGCTGCGAGGGGGAGGCGAGGGGGGCGGCAGCCGGCGTCCGGGAGGCGGAGGCAGCATCTCCCGAGGCCGCCGGGGGCTCCACTGCGGGGCGAGGGCCTTCCCCGCCGGGCCCGTCTCCCGCCCCTTTCCCGGGGGCGCCGTCCGCATGCCGGGGAGGGGCGTCCCGCGCAGCCTCAGTCGGGGTCACCGCAGGCGGGAGCCGCTCTGGACTGGGAGCAGCCTGGGCCACGGGAGCGTCCACGGTGCTGTTCACGGGAGGGTCCACCTGGGCCTGGGCCACAGGAACGTCCACCTGGGCCATCGGAGTGTTCACCTGGGCCACAGGGGAATCCACGGTGCTGTTCACAGGAGCGTCCGCCTGGGCCACGGGAGCGTCCAGCTGGGCCACAGGAACGTCCACCTGGGCCATCGGAGTGTCCACCTGGGCCACAGGGGTGTCCACAGTGCTGTTCACAGGAGGGTCTACCTGGGCCTGGGCCACGGGAGCGTCCACCTGGGCCACAGGGGTGTCCACGGTGCTGTTCACGGGAGTGTCCGCCTGGGCCTGGGCCACGGGAGTGTCCACGTGGGCCACAGGAATGTCCACCTGGGCCACAGAGGCGTCCACGGTGCTGTTCACAGGAATATCCACCTGGGCCATCAGAGTGTCCACCTGGGCCTGGGACACAGGAGTGTCCACCTGGGCCTGGGCCACGGGAGCATTCATGGTGCTGTTCATGGGAGTGTCCATCTGGGCCACGGGAGTGTCCACCTGGGCCATGAGAGTGTCCACCTGGGCCACGGTAGTGTCCATGGTGCTGGCAGAGGGCAGCTCAGTGTGGCTGGCTTCGTGCGGGGCAGGAGCAGGAGCCTGCTCCCCAGGGCAGGGCGGCTGCTCAGGCTGAAGGGCGCCACTGCTCAGAGCGCCCCCTCCTGGCTGGTCTGGAGGCCTCTGCGTCCCTGAGTCCCCTCTGTCAGCGCCCCCAGCGGCCCGGGCAGCCGCACCGTCCACACCTGAGTCCTCTGCGGGCGGGCGGCGTCCAGGCCGGCCCAGGGCCTCCGCGTCCGCCTCCTCCAGCCGTGGGGTGCCGTCCCCGGGTTCACCCCCCACTGCCCTCTCGGGGGCGCCCCCTGTGGGTGCAGGGCCGGGGCGGGCGGGTGCCGGGGCGCCCCCTGTGGGTGCAGGGCCGAGGCGGGCGGGCGCTGCACCCCCTGGAGCTCCTGAGTCAGGCCCACGAGGCGGGGCGCCCGCCGAGTCCCCACTTGTCCCGGGTGCCATGCCCTCGCCCTGGCCCGGGGGCCGGGCCTCCGCGGCTGCAGACTCGCCCGCGCCGCCCGGACACGCCGCTCCGCGCCGGCTGCCAGCCTCATCCTCCTGTGCGCCCGGCTCCTGCTCTGCCCGCTCCGTCACGGGTCTCTCCGGCTCCGAGTCCCCGGGGCCTGAACACGGGGAGCCGGGGAGCCCGCCGGGGGGGAGCTCCCTCTGTGGCTCCGACGTGGGGGCCGGCCCCTCTGCTGGGCGGGCGGACGAGCTGGCATCCTCCTGCGGGGCCCGGGGCGCGGGGGTCAGGGGAGGGGCCGCAGCCAGGATCGCAGGGCCTGGGTCCCCCCGAGAGGCCTCCTCCCCGGGCTCCGCAGGGGCAGCGGCGTCGGGCCCCGGCCGGCCTGGCTGCCGGGGGGCTGCCGGGGGCCCCAGCCGGGCCGGGCTGTCCTGCTGGCTGTGTCCCGGTCTGAGCAGGTCCGCAGCCCCGCTCTCCCCGTTGGGGGGCTGTGGCCCTGCGGCTGGGGCTCCCCGTCCGGCCGCCTCGGGCCCCGGGGCAGGGGGCTGAGGGCCGGTCAGCAAATCCTCCCGGTCGTGGCCCGGCTGCGGGGGGGCTGGGGAGCTCCCCGTCTTCGATTCCGACGGGCTCCCCTGTTCCCGGGCTCCGGGGGCGCCCTCCAGGGCAGCCGGGGACGGGGGGCCCGGTTTCGCTCCTCCCTGTCCCCCCGAAACGTGCTCCCAGGCTCCCTCCGGCCCGGGGGGCGTGGCGGGGCCCTGCTCAGGGGGCCCGTCCGGAGAGCAGGGGGCGTGGGCCGCAGGGGCCGGGGCCGAGCTGCGAGCTGCGGCCGCTGACGGAGACCCCGGCCTGTCCGAGGGCCCGGGGCCATGCTGGCCGCCGGGCCGAGCGGAGGCCATGCCCGCGAGGAGCTGGCTCCCGTCACCGGTCGCCTCGGAGGCCTCCTCCTCCGTCTCCGGGTCAGGCCTGCGGCCGAGGGCCTGGGTCTGCACTCCCCCCAGGCCCCTGGGACATGCCCCACCAGGAGGCTCCGGGCCCGGCTCCTCTCCCCCAGGCTCGGCCCCAGGCGGTCTGCCTCCCCGCTCGGCCGCCCCTGGGCCCTCGGGGGCCGTGGCCTCGTCCCGTGGCCCCGGCAACTGGCTGGCGCCTTCGTCCAATGCCCTGGGGGGCGGGGGCGGCGCCCCCTGCTGGGCTTCGTGGCTCTGCTCCGGGTCCAAGGGCCCCCCAGTCTCCTCCTGGGGCGCACGGGCAGGGCCGTCCCCCACGCCGCTGGGATCCGCCGGGGGCTCCCGTCTGGCCGACGCGGCGTCTGCGGGCTCTTTGGCTGAATCCGTCAGCGCGGGCACGTCGGGGCCGGACGCCGTCTCCTCTGCGGCCACGGGGGCCTGGGCGGCGGGCGGGCCCGGGGGCCGTGGCTCCCGGGTGCCCACGAGCAGAGCCCCCCCGGGTGGGCCCCCCGTGGCCATGCCGATGGCATCACGGGGCGAGGCTCCGGGCGCCCGTGTCTTCACGGGGCACTGAGTGTCGCTGCCATCTACCGTCTCCGCCTCCGGCCCTGCGCCCCCGGCCCCTGGCGCCCCCTCCATCCGCCCTCCGGGGGGCGCTGCCCACAGTCCTGGCGCCTGATCGCTGGAACCCAGGGAGGCCAAGGCCACCTCTGACTCCGACTCCGGCCGCTCCTCCTGCAGGCCGCTCTCCCCTCCGGCCCCGGGGCCAGAGGCAGCCGCCCCGCGCCGGGCAGGGCTGCCCCCCAGAGGGGCGGGCTCCGGGGCGTCTCCCTGGGCACCGGGAGAAGGCTGTGTCGCAGGGCGCTGAGCGAGGGGCCAGTCCCCAGGCGCCGCGGGGGGGCTGCGGGCGTGAGCTTCTGGGGGGCCCTCGGCCTGGTGCCCGGGGTGGGCGGTGCCCTCTGCCTCCTGGGACACTGGCCGGGGAGAGCCGCCGGGGGCCCCCGCGTCCTGTGTGTGCTTTCTCCGCTCCGTCGCCTCCAGAAACGGGACGCCCGGGTCCAGGCCAGCCGCGCCCTCAGGGGCGGTGCAGGCGGCTCCGTGCGCGGCGCTGCCAACGAGAACAGGTCACCGTCACCGGGTCTCGTGGACGCCGAGGACGGACCGGCACGCAGGCAGAGCTGCCCCGATGGCCCCCGAGGCCACACACAGCACCCCATGCACCCACTCCTCCCCCAGAAGACCCCACCCTTCCCATGACCCCTGCACGTGGCATCTCCTTCCCCCAAATCAGCGTGGGGCCGGCCGGCGCGGCTCCGTGGAGGAGCGTTGACCTATGAACCAGGAGGTCAGGGTTCGATTCCGGGTCACGGCACAGGCCTGGGGATGTGGGCTGGATCCCCAGTATGGGGCGTGCAGGAGGCAGCCCATCCCTGATTCTTATCATGGATGTTTCTATTCCTCTCCTCCTCCCCCTTTCTCTTCCTCTCTGAAATCCATGAAAATGTTTTTTTAAATTCCGCCTGGCTCTCGGCCGGTCGGTATGTACAGAAGCCTAGAAATGAACCCATAAAAGCCTCACGCACGAGACCCGGCAGCTTTCCGTCCGTGTGGCCTGTAAGGAGGGCGGGGCCGGCCGGGGGCACCCGCCAGGGCCTTGGCGTCGGGAGAGGCCCGGGCAGCTGAGCTTGGAAACCCTCTGCTCCCACTGCGCCCTCAGCACCGGCCGACCTCAGCTCTGCGAGGCGTGGGCCCCCCGACTCCAGAGAGAATCCCTGTGCTGTGTGTGCGGCCCTCGGCCGGGCCCGGGGAGACACACAGAGACGAGTGCAGACACCTGGGCACGGGGCCCAGGACCCCGGACGCGGGCAAAGGCAGGCACTGTGAGCCCGGGAGGATCCCTGATCCTCTCTCATCACTGACGTTTCTCTCCTTCTCCCTGCCTCTCTGAAGTCAATGAACTATATATATGTATTTATTTATATTTTAGCTGTTGAGGCCCCCCCCCCCAACGTCCCCCCTGCAGGGCCCGGTGCCAGGCTCCACTCGGAAGGCCCGCCTCTGACATGCCGTGCTGACCCCTGACCCCTAAACGCTCTGTTCGGCCTTTGCTCCTCATTCCCTCTGGGCGCCCGGCAGCGCCATCTCCTGGGGGTGGGGTGAGACCCGCTGTGCTCTGAGGGTGTAAGGAGAGGCTGCCCGGGCCTGGCTGGAGTACCCAGGAGGGAGAGGAGTCCCATGGGTGGGGCAGGGACGAGGGACAGCCTGACGCAGGCATGAGGGCCACTGTGCTCCCAAGTGGACAGGGTGGGGAGGCCCTGACCAGCCTCCACAGGGTCTGGCCAATGCGGGGCTGAGTGACAACAGCGACACCGTGTGGCCACTGGGAGGCAAGGCCGCCATCTGATGGGACTCCCCCAGCCGGTCCCGCCTGTACGTGGGGACCCTGGAGGGTCCTGGGCGGGTCAGAGGGAGGAGGCGCCTCTGGGACTACGTGACGCCGGCCGCTGGCGGCCGGAGCTCGATCCTGGCCCCGGCGGAGGTGGCCAGGCCTGCGAGAGGGACGGCATGTCTCCCTGACCCTGTCCTCCTCCAGCCCCGGGGGCGGGGCCCGGGCCTGCGGTTTCTCCCTGGAGGTTTACCAGCAGGAAGCAGACCTGTGAGGTCCGTGGCCCCTCCCGTCTTCTGTGCAAACCGGTGACACAGGGGTCTCCCCCTCAAAAAAAACAATCGTGCGCACACTATCCGTCTCCCGGTGGGACCACTGGGATGAGGGATTGCTCGGAGTGGGCACGCTTTGGGGACACCTGCATCTTCTGGAGAGAGCGTGCTGGCTGAGGGGGGGTGGGGGAAGGTCTCGAAACGTGGGCGACGGCCTCCGGGGTGAGGGTGGTGATGAGGGGGGCCTGAGGGAAAGACGGGGGGTGTGTCAGGGAGCCCCCATGCCCAGTGTGGCCTGGGCGCCGCACACCACAGGCCCGGTGGGCGGGTGGCCGGACCAGGGGCCTCTCAGTGGTGAGGGAGGAGGGGCGAGGAGGGAGGGCCTCAATGACCAGGTCAGGAGGGGGATCGAGGTCGGCTGACCTGGGCGGACCACAGCCGGGCTGAGCGGGCTCAGAGCCGGAATGAACGGGTGGAAGGAAAGCTTTTATTTTGTGCAGAGGACGGTCTGGTGCCGTGGCCGGTGTCACCTGGGATGGATGTTAGAGCGATCGGACCTGCACCAAGGGCCCGCGCTCGCCCTTGCCTGCGCCCTGGCTCCCCAGGGCCCCGGAGCCACCCCTCGCCCTCGCTCCGAGGCGGTGGGTCCGGGCCCTGCACACAGACCCCCGTTACGGGGAGCACGTGTTCCCTGGGCAGAGGGCCTCTCCGGGCGGCACTCGGAGGCATCCTGTGTGCTCAGCTCGGAGGCGGGGCGACGAGTGTTCTTCCAGGAAACGTGGTGGTGAGGGCGCTGAGGAACGGGGGGCAGAGCCAGCGGGCCAGCCCGTCCCCACGACGCCGGCGGGGACGCTGGGGCAGACTCCCGGGAAGAGGGTCCCCTCTGTCCCCCTCAACACCCTTCATGAATCTCAGGGTCACGGCAGCCCATCTAGACCAGCGTCCGGGCCTGGCCGGGCCTGTCTGCTGCCTCCGCGGGGGACCCAGAACGGCGGGTGCTGCCATGGCTGGGGGTCCATTGGGCTCTTCCCAGCAGTCGGCAGGGGAGCCGGGACCCGGCTGGGTCCACGTGGAGCCGTGGCCGAGGGACCCTGCACGGCCGCGTCCCAGGCAGCGTGTGGCCGTGTCTCTGGGATTCACCGCCTCCCGGGACCGGAGGGCCGGCCCTCCGTCAGCTCCAGGACTCCTCCCCCATCCCCCCTCCCCGCCTCACCCTCGGTGCCCCAGTGAGGGCTCGGGGCAGGTGCCCAGGGCCAGCCGCTGGGCATGAGGTCATCTCTGACGTTGTTGACCCTCCCCCGAGGCTATGGTCCCATTGACTTTCAGAGAGAGCAGAAGGAAGGAGGGAGAGAGAGAAACATCCATGCGTGAGAGGCACATCGAGTGGTTGCCTCCTGCGTGCACCCCAATCGGGGCTGGGGGTGGACCTGCCACCAAGGTCTGTGCCCCTGAGTGGAATCGAACCCATGGCCCTTCCGTCCATGGGCCAGTGCTCTAACCACAGAGCCACACTGGCCAGGGCTGGCACGAGGATCCTTTTGACCTAAAAGCAACGGGGACCTTGCAGCCTCCAGAGAATCTTCTGCCCCCTGCACTCCACGTAACCCCTGGGAGAATGTAAACGAAGGGCTTTGCACATGCTGCGCAGGCAGCGGGCTGGCCACACGGGCCCAGCGGTCCTCGGGGCCTGGCTCCTACCTGGGCTGCTCCTCCGGCTTCCTCTGTGCGTCCCGGCTGCTCCCGGGTGGCGGTGGGGATCCGGGACTCGGGGCTGACGAGGTCCTCTGAGCCGGGGGAGGGCGAGGGAGAAAGAGAAGTGAGAAAGGAAATCAAACCGGAATCTATGGAAACTGAAACTCATCTCTCTGGGCCTCGGACCACAGTTCTCACGGGCTCGACGTCTGTCCGGCCATCCCACTGAGCGCGCCGCCTGGGAAAGCCGCACGCTGAGGACAAATGGCAGCCACGCCGAGCGGCAGCGCCTCGGGGGCGGGTCACTGCCTTAGAGAGGAGCCGGGCGGGGACGCCTCCCCACCTGGGGGTCCCCCACTCCCTGGCGATAGCGAGGCCCTGCCATCTAAGACCCCACAGTGCCCGTGTGGCCCTGCCACGCATTAATCCCCCCCAACCGTGGTTTTGCTCAGAATTCAGCTGGGAAACTGGGGGGACATGAGGGACGGAGCCCTGGCCAGTTTGGCTCAGTGGATAGAGCGTCGGCCCCTGGACTGAAGGGTCGTGGGTTTGACTCCAGTGAAGGGCGTGGACCTCAGCTGCAGGTCGATCCCTGGACTCAGGAGAGGCCCCGGAAGGAGGAAACCAAGCAATGTGTCTCACACGTCAATGCTTCTCTCTCTCTCTCTTTCTCTCTCTCTCTCTCTCTCCCCCCCCCCCCCCGCTCTCTCTAAAGGCCGCCGGGGATGTCCGGGTGGGGGCTATGACACAGGCCCCTCCTTGCACGCGTGGCCGGCCGTGCTCTGTCCGACTCAAAAACCACGGCAGAGGGATCCACGCTCTCACACCAGGGCCCGGGTTTCTGGAACCGGAACCCCGGCCCTGCCTGGCTGACGGGCACACGGGCCTCAGCGGCCAACGCCTCCCACAGCCAGGCCCCTCCCGCCCCTCCTGCCCCCCTGCCGAGCGGGATCCCGTCACCGCTCAGACACATCCCTGCACTCCACCCAAGGTCAGGCCACGTGAAGGTCCTGCTGAGGAGACGCGGGCGCCTCCCACGAGGCAGACAACGGGGGGCGGGACGGTCTCTGCTCTGACTGGGGACACGGCCGGACTTCCTCCGTCACGGGAAGCAGGACACGGCTCAGGCTCACGGGACACGGGACACGGCTCAGGCTCACGGGACACGGGACATGGCTCAGGCTCACAGGACACAGGACACGGGCTCACAGGACCCAGGACACGGCTCAGGCTCACGGGACACAGGACACGGCTCAGGCTCACGGGACATGGCTCAGGCTCACAGGACACAGGACACGGCTCAGGCTCATGGGATACAGGACACGGCTCAGGCTCACGGGACACAGGACACGGCTCAGACTCACGGGACACAGGACACGGACTCAAGCTTGTCCTTGAGAAGCAATAAGGGCGGCCTCTCTCCCTCCCCAGCCTTTCCCCCTCCCCAGCCTCTCCCTCCCCAGCCTCTCTCCCTCCCAGCCCCGCCCCAGCCCCGCCCCCAGCAGGAAGCCAGGGCCGTGGCTCCCGCAGACACTGGTGAGGAGGAGAAGCCACAGCACGGCCCACGGAAGGCGTCCACTTTCCTTTTTAATGCGAACCCCCAATCCTGGTCTGATATTTAATATTTTAGTTCTAATTGTTTTAATATATTTTATTGATTTTTTACAGAGAGGAAGGGAGAGGGATAGAGTTAGAAACATCGATGAGAGAGAAACATCGATCAGCTGCCTCCTACACGCCCCCTACTGGAGATGTGCTCACAACCAAGGTACATGCCCTCGACCGGAATCGAACCCGGGACCCTTCAGTCCGCAGGCCGACGCTCTATCCACTGAGCCACACCGGCTAGGGCTTCGTTGAGCTTTTCAGAGTCCAGGGCCGAGTCGCTGTGGGCGGAGCAGACGGGAATGCCACGTCTGTCTCCTGTTTCCCGGCGAGAAGCCGGGCGGCTGGGTGGCGGGGCCAGGTCTGCGGCCGTGCGGCCCCGAGCTCACTCCGCAGGCATAACACCCCAGTTAGCCAAGGTCACCCCATAAACGTGATAACAAGGACGCCCAGAGCCTACACCCGTCATCTGTTAGACCCATAACAGCAAACGGATCACGGTAACCGACCCGTGTGCCAAGCGTGTTTCCCTCCCGTTCAGGCCTCACAGCGGCCCTGCGTCCCGGGCGAGATCCTGAGCACAGACAGGAGCCACCTGCCGAGGCCACACAGCACGCGGGGAAGGGGGAAGGGGGAAGGGGGAAGGGGGCGGGCGTGGGCCGCTGCTGGTCCGGGCCGGTGCTCTGACCGGCCTCAGGCCTGTCCGCCGGCGGGGACACAGCTGCCGTGGCCGCTCCACCTCCGGCCTCGCTCCGGTCACTAAGCAATGGGATGTGCCTGCGTCACCACCCAGGTCGCCGCCCGAATAGGTCTGGCCCGGAGCTGGTCCAGGAAGCTCGTCACGTGTGTGAAACACGATCCCCCTCACCCGGGGCGTCTCTGCAGAGCCGGCGAAGGGCACTCGTCCCCGGAGCCCTCGCTCCTGCCAGGCCTGCCAGGCCCCGGCCTCCACTCCCCCCCTCCCGGGTCCCGCTCCGGCCACAGCCAGAGGGCGCCCAGGCTGTGGTGCCCATGGTGTCAGGGCCTCACGGGGGAGGGGGGAACACGATGACAGTGGGCATGACGGAGCCCTCTCCCCTCCCCTCCCAGCACAGCAGGGAGCGGGCGTCCCGCGTGGAGCTGTGTCTGGGCCCTCCTGCCAGCTGAGTACACACGGCCGCTCCCTGGCTCGGAGCCTGCGTCTGCCCAGCAGCCCCGCGGCGTCCCCGCCCGCAGAGCGCCCTTTCCCAGGAGCCCAGGTGTTTCGCCATCGAAAGAATTCCCGCCGAACCGGTTTGGCTCCGTGGGCAGAGCAATGGCCCGCGGACTGCAGGGTCCCGGGTCCGAATCCGGTCAGGGCACAGGCCTGGGTTGTGAGCTCGATCCCCAGTAGGGAGCGTGCAGGAGGCAGCTGGTCCATGATTCTCTCTCATCATGGATGGTCGTGAGCCGCAGGCTGAGAACGGCTAGCAGGGTCGCCTGAGACCATCGGAAAGCACAGATATTGACTTTACGATTCATTAACAGCAGCAAAACGACAGTGATGAAGTAGCACCAAGAATAATTTCATGGTTGGGGGTCACCACCACATGAGGAGCTGCCTTAGAGGGTCTCCGCATTAGAAAGGTTGAGAACCGTGGAGCTAAAACAAGCTCGCTGCCTAAACCGGTGTGGCTCAGTGGGTAGAGCGTCAGCCTGCGGACTGAAGGGTCCCAGGTTCGATTCCGGTCAAGGGCATGGACTGCCGAGACCGGTTTGGCTCAGTGGATAGAGCGTCGGTCTGCGGACTGAAGGGTCCTGGGTTCGATTCCGGTCAAGGGCATGGACCTTGGTTGCGGGCACATCCCCACTAGGGGGTGTGCAGGAAGCAGCTGATCCATGTTTCTCTCTCATCGATGTTTCTAACTCTCTATCCCTCTCCCTTCCTCTCTGTAAAAAAAATCAATAAAATATTTTTTTAAAAAATTAAAAATAAATAAAGCAACCTCACAGCATCGTACAGTGGGAGGAGTCCCTGTATCGGCCACAGCCGGCCAGAGTGCTGGGACCAGCGTGAGGAGAGACCCACAGGCCAGGGACGTCAGGGAGAACCGGACTCAGACCCTCTCGCATAACCGCCAACTGCCTCCGGGCGAGGAGAGCAAGTCAGCACGTGGGACTGAGGGCGAGTGGCGATGGCCGAACACAGACACGCGAAAACACGCACCTCAGCCCGGGCCTCAGAGCTCCCACAGAGACGTGCACTCAGCACGGGCCGGGATGTCACTGTGAAGCTGTGGGATTTTAGAGAAAACGCTCAGGGTGTCCGGCCGGACAGAGTCCTCGGGGGGGACCACAGGCGCCGCCCGTAAAGGGGGAGCGGACCCCGCGCCTCCTCGCAGCTGCTGGCCAGGAAGACCGGGTGTGAGGGTGAAAGGCCGGCCCCGAGGTCGGCAGACTCACTCGTCAGCAGAGCCAAACGCCAAAGTGACAGCGATCGACATTTCTTTTTTCTTTTTTTCTTTAAAAAAAAAAAAAAAATATTAACTGATTTTTTTACAGAGAGGAAGGGAGAGGGACAGAGAATTAGAAACATCGGTGAGAGAGAATCATCGATCAGCTGCCTCCTGCACCCCCCCTACCGGGGATGTGCCCGCAACCAAGGTACACGCCCTTGATGGGAATCGAATCCGGGACCCTTCAGTCTGCAGGCCAAGGCTCTATCCACTGAACCACACCGGCCTGGTCTGAAATTCCTTTGGGGAGCCAAATTTTTTAAACTTAAACTTCTAGCACCACTTCCTCAGCATAGACCCGCCCGGGCCGTGGTGTTTTTGTGGAAGAGCCACACGCAAGAGGCCCAAGAGCCGCACGTGGCTCACTGGCTCACGAGCTGCGTTTGCCGACCCTGGGAGCAGCAGGACCAGGAGGAAAAGTTTGCAGCGACATCGGACGGCGGGGTGGGCTCCGGACGCCGCCGAGAAGAGGAAAATGCGATTAGAACGCAGACGGAAACGGGAGCAGATGCTCCCCGCGGAGCAGGGCCGATGGCAGCGAGCCCATCACCATGTTCGACGCCCGCTCACCAGGGAGACATCGGAGCCGGAGCCGCCCCCAGGCCGGCCTGGCCGTGCCCGGCGCTGCCAGCACCGGGAGCCAGACCCCAGCCGGCCCGCACCGCGGGGGCCGTGCCGAGGCCGGCGGCTCCAGAAACACAGTCTGGCAGCTCCTCACAGGCACGTGTGACGGCACCCGCCCGGCGACGGCCCGGGCACCGGCCGAGGAGTGGAAACATGTGCGCAGAAGCCGCGGCGAAGGGGGCACGTGGATCGGCCCCAACCGGGGAGGAGCAGAGCCTCCGCGCACCCCCGGGAACCGCGCCCCACGGACGGTGCTCGGCGGCAACGGAGGAGCGGGCGCCGGCCCAGGCCGGTGTGGCTCAGTGGGCAGAGCGTCTGCCTGTGGACTGAAGGGTCCCGGGTTCGATTCCCGTCCAGGGCACATCCCTCGGTTGCAGACTTTCCTCCTGGCCCTGGTCAGGGTCGCCGCGTAGGCAACCAATCAATGTGTCCCTCTCACGTGGACGCTTCTGTCTCTCCCCCTCCCTTCCTCTCTCTCTCTAAACATCAGTGGGAAAATATCCTCGGGGGAGGATTAACCAAAAAAATGAAAAGAAACCGGAACGGATGTCCGAGCAGCTGGATGGGCGGGAGGGAATCCCGGGAGTGGACACAGCCCGTCCCCGAGGCCTCGTCCGCGGGCTCCAGCGGTCTGCACCACAGGCCCAGCATGGTGCAATGAGAGAGCACACACACCAGGCCCGGCATTGGAAAGGGGCCAGAGGGAGGTGGGTGGCTCTGAGGCGATGGGGCTGCTCCATGATTGTTTTAAAATATATTTTTATTGCATTCTGAGAGGGAGAGGGAGAGACATCCATGATGAGAGAGAATCATGGGTCAGCTGCCTCCTGCACGGCCCCTAGTGGGGATGGAGCCCGAAACCCAGGCATGTACCCTTGACCGGAATCGAACCCGGGACCCTTTAGTCCTCAGGCCGACGCTCTATCCACTGAGCCACACCGGCCTGGCATTATCTATGTCAGCGTCTGGCTGAGGTCATGGAGTTTCACAAGATGTCATCCTTTGACGTTACCCGGTTAAAAAAAAAGTAGGGCAAGGGTCCGAGATTCTGCGCCTTTTCCCACAGCAGCTGTGCGTCTGCCATCACCGCACAGTAAAAGCCTAATTATAACCAATTACAACTGCACGGAAAGCAGTGTGGGCGCCCGGCCTCCCCTGGAGAACAGGGCGGGGCGTCTTGTTCCAGACACCCCCCCCCCCCCCGGGCCTGTGACCCCTCCCCGGCCTGTGACCCCTCCCTGACCTGTGACCCCTCCCTGGCCTGTGACCCCTCCCCGGCCTGTGACCCCTCCCTGACCTGTGACCCCTCCGATCTGGAGGCCGTGTCCCGCTCCATCCGCTCGGCGCTGACAGAGGTGAGGCCCCCTCCAGGCCCCGCTCCATCCGGGAGGCGTGGGCGGGGTCGGGGGGCAGGGAGGGGTGGGGGGCAGGGAGGGGGCCCTCAGGGGAAGGGCCAGCTCCCCCTCGACCGGTTGTGAAGCACAAACTCGGGAGAAGAACGAGCTTTTGGGCTGTAACCGCGGGCGCCTTCGCCGGGATTCTGAGAGTGAAGTGAGGCGCCTCCAGCGACCCTCGGTGCCCGCGTGGGGCTCGCCCGGAGGGCGGAGGGCGGAGTGCAGAGGGCAGAGGGCAGAGGGGGCGGAGGGCGGAGGGCAGAGGGTGGAGGGCAGAGAGGGCGGAGGGCAGAGAGGGCGGAGGGTGGAGGGCAGAGGGCAGAGAGGGCGGAGGGCAGAGAGGGCGGAGGGCGGAGGGCAGAGAGGGCGGAGGGCAGAGAGGGCGGAGGGCAGAGGGCAGAGAGGGCGGAGGGCGGAGGGCAGAGTGCGGCCCGGCCGGGGAGTCCTGCACCCACCTGGCTGTCGGAGGCGCTCTGCTCGTTGCCCATGGCCAGTCCCGCGTCCTCAGGGTCAGAGGGGCGACTGGAAGACAGGAGGGCATGACGTCCATGAGACGCAGTGAGGCTGCGCCGTCCTCCTGCCTCCATCCTCCTGGCCTCCAGCCTCTGGCCTCCCGTCCGTGAGACCCAGGGAGGCTGATCTGTCCTCCAGGCCTTCCGTCTCCTGGTCTCCCACCTCCATCCTCCCAGCCTCCCAGCCTCCCCAGGCTCCCCGGCCTCCCCAGCCTCCCGTCCGTGAGACCCAGGGAGGCTGAGCCGTCCGCGATGGCAGAGCCTCAGGAGAACGGGTTTGCTGCCTCGCCGCTGAGCTCACCCACTGCACACGCACACGTCTCTCACATGTCTATCTACAGACACACACACACACATCTATCTACACACACGCCTATAACACACACGCCTATCCATACACACACACACACACACACACACACACACAGCTTGGCGGGGAGGGAGGAGTGTGGTGCGGGACGCACTCTCTAACCGTGGGCCGTGGGGAACCAGGCGCAGGACTCAGACCCAACACCAGGAGGTGTGAGCCCCGATTCTCTGCAGCCCCAGGCGCTCCGATAGCCTCTCCCCTGACCTCTCCTGGCTCAGGCTCCGCCTGCGTGTCCGGGGCAGGCACAGCTGCCAGCTCCGCTCGGTGCAACAGCCACCAAACAGCCCCGCACGGAACGGGCCCATTAAAACGCCCCAGACCGCCGGCCATGAACCATCAGGGCTCCATTCCCGCTCAGGGCACAGGCCCGGGCTGAGGGCTCCATCCCTGGGGGACGGGGGGGAGGGAGGCAGCCAACTGATGTTTTTGTCTCTCTATCCCGCTTTCTTCCTCTCCAAAATCAATAAAAACATTAGAAACAAACAAATTGCCCCCAAACTGAGAAAATTGCAACATCAATTCTCTCACTCCCAAGCCCTGAATCAAAATTCCTTTAGCCCCGAGGTCGGCAATCTCATCCGTCCACAGAGCCAACTATCAGCAGCACAAGGATGGACATTCCTTCTGACAGCCGCATTTTTTAAACGTAAACTTCTTCTAGCGCCCTTCTTCAACACAGACTCGCCCAGGCCGTGGTGTTTTGTGGGAGAGCTGCACTCCAGGGGCCAAAGAGCCGCAGTTTGCTGACCACGACTTTGGCCCCTCCTCACCATTGGCCGCTGTGAGATAGACACCCCCCTCCCCCCAGAATCACAGGCTCCCCCACAGCGCAGGCCGTGCCGCAGACTAACACCCTCCCCCAGGCCCCTCCGCGTTCAGGGAGCGGGAGGCTGGGGAGAGGCTGTGTGACCGCCCGCCGCTGTGGCCCGGGCGTCACTGCGGTCCTGTCCCACCGGCGGCCCAGCGTCCAGGCTCCCCGCCTGCGTCCAGTGACCCTTTCGGAGCCTCTTCCTCCCTCGGCAACCAGCTCCGTGCCCACACCGAGAGGCAGAGCTGCGCACCCAGCCTTGCAAAGGGCCCAGGGACCAGAGGACACAGCGGGACCATCTGCTCTGAGTGAGTCTCAGGACAGCCGGGCCGGACCGCACACGGCCCGTACCCCCTCCTCCTCCCCTGCCATCCCCCTCCGGGCCGGTCCGCACACAGCCCGTACCACCCCCCGCTCCGGCCCAGGGCACCTGCTCCCCGCCAGCTACTCACGTTTGGGGGTAAACTGGGGCTCGGAAAGCCGGCTCTTGGCTGCGGCTCTCTCACCAGGAGCGGGTGCGTCTCTGAGGAGCTCCCACCTCCGCCCGCCAGGCACTCAGCCTCCTGCCCCGCACGGGCGCGCCCAGCTGTGCCTCCTCCCGGGCAGGCGGCGGCGAGCTCCGATCGCACACACCTGGCCCTCCCGCCCCCTCCGGGCTCCTCCCCTCGGAAAGGCTGGCCACGTACACACACACACACTCACAGACACACTCACACAGAAACACACACTCACACACACACAGAAACACACACACTCACACAGAAACACACACACACACTCACAGAAACACACACACACACACAGAAACACACACACACACACACACTCACAGAAACACACACACGCACACACACACTCCCCCTGGCGCCCTGAGGGCAGGAGGCTGGCCTGGGCCAGTGGGCAGTGGGAGGGACAGGCCTGGCCGAGAGCCGCTCCGGGCTCCGTGCGCCTGGGAAGATGGAGAGCCTGTGGGCACGGGGCGCCCGCTCCCGGCACCTGTACGGTGTGGGGAGCAGGGGCACTGCCGGCGAGGCCAGAGGTCCAGTGGGTGACGTCGGGAGCAGCCGCTGGCCCACGGCTGGGCTGCCTGGCCGGACATGCCGGAGCAGGAGGAGGCCGGCGCCCCCGGGCGGGACCCGGGCAGCAGCCAGGCTGGGGCGGGGGGGACGGGGGGGAGGAGGGTTCCTCTTTATGGTAAACAGCTGGAGCCAGAGCAGGAGAGTCCCGCCCTGGACCAGCCGGGCGGCGAGGCCTGCAGACGAGACCTGCCCGGCCAGGCGAGGCCGGTGAGGCCGGCCCTCCGCGGCCGCCCCGCTCTCGGCCTCCGCCAGCCTGGTGTGGGCAGCGGCAGGAAGGCTCCCAGCAGGAGTGCAGGTGCCCGGAGCCCAGGTGCCGCATGCTCCCGAGGGTGGAGGGTGAGCTCAGTCACCTGACCCTGCGGCTCCTCCGGACGAGCCCGGCCACCTGGGCCCTCTGTCCCTGCCCGTCTCACCCGGGGCTGGATTCCTGGGTCTGCCCTCCCCCTCCCAGCCCTCCCCCCCCCCCGAGTCCCCCCCTCCCCCACCAACAGAGCTCCGTTCAGCTCTGCTATCGGCTCCTGAGCGACTGCCAATGAGCACGGCGCCTGGGGGCTGCTGGGGTGCCACCTGCTTTGGGCTCAGGGTTGGTCGGCCTGTGGAGGCGATTCCCGGTCCAGGCGGCACCTGGGGACAGGCTCCCAGCCCTAGTCAGGGTTCGAGCAAGAGGCCCCAATGGTGTCTATCACATCAATGTTCCCCTCCCCCTCTCTCTCTCCTCTTTCTCTCTCTTCCCTCCTCTCCCCTCCCTTCCACTCTCTCTAAAAATCAACGGTAAAAAATACCCTTGAGTGAGGATTAACAAGAATATGACATGGAAATTAATACAACACAATATTGAATGTAAACTGTGATTAAAAATAAAATAAACACAGACCTCATTTCTTGTTTGTCTGTCGGGGACGGTCAGGAAGGTGCAGAGCGAGGTGGGACGGGGGAGGGGGTCAGGCCACACCTGCCCTGGGCGGATCCAGCGGGAGGCAGTGAGGTGAGGGGCTGGGGATGGGGACGCCCTGGGACAGGCCTGTTGGCACGGCCGGGGAGCGGTCAGGGTGCAGGGTTGGGGGGGCAGAGCCGCAGGGCTGGGTGAGGAGTGGGCAGTGCGGGCAGTGGGGGGCTGCAGCACCCTGGGCCAGAGGAAGCTCAGTGGTAGCTCTGTGCTGCCCCCTCCTTGTTTTAAATACATTTTATTGGTTTTTCACAGAGAGGAAGGGAGAAGGAGAGAGAGTTAGAAACACCGATGAGAGAGAATCATTCATCAGCTGCCTCCTGCACAGCCCCCACCGGGGATGTGCCTGCAACCAAGGCACATGCCCTTGACCGGGAATCGAACCTGAGACCTTTCAGTCCACGAAAGCGTGGCTCCTCACGGCGGATGAGTGGTAGCTGCTGGCTAGCCGGCCCACAGCTGACCTGACATGGGAGGGCTCCCAACTGTGACCACGAGACCAGAGGTGAGCTGAGCCCAGCCCAGGGGCCGGCCCACGGAACCAACACCAAACACGTGGCCGTGGCTTACACCTCCGCGTTCTGGGGCGATCGGTTTCTGGGTGAAAACCAGCTGATAGGATCCCCCCCCCCAGAGGGCCACGTGCTGCCCCTGCCCCCAGCCAGCACCCCTCCCTGCCGGCCAGAGAGGGTCTGCCCATCGAATCACAAAGGATGGCCTGGCCGGCGTGGCCCAGGGGCTGAGCATCGACCTCAGGACCAGGAGGTCGCTGGTTTGATTCCCGGTCAGGGCACAGGCCTGGGTTGCAGGCTCGACTTCAGGGGTGGTACTTGCAGGAGGCAGCCGATCAAGGATGCTCCTCTCTCATACATGTGTCTCTCTTCACTCTCACCCTTCCTCTCTCTTTAGAAACAATAAGAATATATTTAAGTCCTATCTAATAGAGAGGGGATATGCTGATTGACCATCACTCTCTCACAAAGACGGCTACACCCACAGCTGAGGCCAAGTTCCCATCAGGAGCCTTAAGGAGCAATCAGCAGGGACCTGAGGCTACACCCTCCCCCGCCCCTGTGGGGCTTGATGGGGGACCTCAGGCTGGGCCTCCCCCCACCCCCGCCCCCACTCTGGCATCAGGCTGGGGAACCTCAGGCTGTGCTCCTGCCCTGCCACCAGGCCAGAGGACCTGAGGCCACGCCCCTGACCTCCGGTGCTGGACAGGGGACCTCAAGTTGCGCTTCCCCCCCACTGCCAGGCCAGGGGACCTCAGGCCACGCCCCCACCAGGTTGGGCTTGACAGGGGACCTCAGGCTGCACGCCCCCCCCCAGCACTGGGCCGGGGACCTGAGGCTGGACCCAGGCTTTACAGCCGGGGTTCTCAGCCTGTGGCCAGCAGGGTCGTCTAAGATAAAGTGACCAGATCGTCCCGCTTTTGGCTGGACAGTCCAGATTTCTAACAATTTTTCCTGCAGTCCACGGTGGTTTAAAAAAAAAAAAAATGTCCCGATTCTTTCCAAAAATCGGGACTTTTTTAAAACGTGGAAATCTGGACTGTCCCACCAAAAGCGAGACCATCTGGTCACCTTAGTAAGACCATCGGAAAACACAAATATTTACATCACGATTCGTAATGGCAACATTACAGGGATGAAGTAGCAACGAGAATAACGTTATGGTGGGGTCACCACATGAGGAGCCGTGTTAAAGGGCCGAGGTATCAGGAGCCACTGCTCGAGAGTTTCAGCGAGCATCAGGCGATTGGATTATGTAAAA